TCAGGCATGCAAGGCAAGTGCTTTACCACTGAGCAACCTTCCCAGCCCCTATTTCCCTATATTTTTGCTAATTCTCATGATATTTACATCAGATTTAAAATAGCACATGAAATCTATAAGTATTATAATATATATAATTATATATTATATAGAGAGAATAATTATACAATTATAAAGCCACAAAGTGTAAGGTATGCTAGTACTATTGTGTATTAAGATGAATAATTATATTAAAATATAAAGGAAGGGATTGTCATTGTTAATTTTTGGGGAATACAGGACTGGGGTTTGAACTCAGTGCATGTACTAGGTCAGTGTTCTACCACTTGAGCCAATACAATGCAAAAGATTTCCATTAAAATGAATGTATTTGTCCTAAAAAAATCAGCGCTTTTAAAGGGTTAACCTCTTAGTACATGAAAAATTCATAAAGACAAAATATCCTCATGCATGTGTCTTTGTTCCTGAGAATTGATCCCAGAGCTCTATCACTGAGCTATATTCTTAACCCTCTATATTCTTTTTTTTTCTTTTTGGTTGGTCGTGGGGTTTGAACTCTGGGCCTGGGCACTGTCCCTCAGCTCTTCAGCTCAAGGCTAGAGCTCTACCACTTGAGCTGCAGTGCCACTTCCAGTTTTCTGGTGGTTTATTTGAGGTAAGAGTTTCATGGACTTGCCAGCCTGGGCTGGCTTTGGACCACGATCCTCAGATCTCAGCCTCCTGAGTAGCTAGGATTACAGGCGTGAGTCTGGGCAACCCTCTATATACTTTAATACAGGGTCTCACTGAGTTGCCTAGGCTGGCTTCCAATTCCTGATCCTTTTACCTTCACCTCTATGATGGCTGGGATTATAGACAAGCACTCTGACCCTCTATGCCTTATCTTTCCATCAAGGTTTATCACCTGCTTCTTCTCATCCATTTAAATATTTGTTAGAAAAATTGATTATCTGCTAAGTATAGGCAAAGCATAAGATGATGTCTACTTCTAAGTAGTTTACAATTACCAAGAAAGATAGTAAATAGGTGCCACTGGAAGATGAAGCACAGCCTTTCCAGATGTGATTTTTGGCCTGAGTCATTTCAGAAAGAGTTAAACACAATGATCTGGTGGTGGAAACAAGCTAGGGAATGCAGAGGTATACAGGGAAATTATTAGGAAATTTGCAGCATCCTTTACTGATTGCAAGCTCATTGTGCCTGCAGCCATGTAGCCTCTTGGCCCTACCTAGAAGCTGTGTAGCATCACCAAAAGGAATGGCTGGGAGGAGGAAAGGCTGGAAGGTTGCCTGGGCCTCTAGATTCCACATTAATTTTTAATGAATCTGTTTTCTCATCTGTATAATGGGATGAATAACATCTAGATTACAGGGGGAAAAGTAGGCTAGATCCAGCGCAACCACACTGTTTCCCACTCTCTCTAGCTGGTTTGGAAAACCTGCTTTCTCCTTTGGGGGAGGAGCACAGCCCTCAGTTAAGAAAAACTCTGGAAGTGGCTGTGATGCACCCAACCTTCCCCCAAATCCATTCCCTTCCTTCTCCCCCTCCCCCCTTCCCCCATCAGATTCAGAACTGCTGCCCCCAGGGATCCTGGCTTTTGTTCTGTGGAGGCTTAAACTCTGACCTGTTTTTGCCCTAGTTCATTGTTTAAAAGTTATCACCTGCTGTCTGCAGAATATTACAAATTGAAACTGCCAAAATTTATTGGCAGGAAATGCTAAATATCATGCTTTGTTCAATACTTACACATCAATGCTTTTATTCTTTTTTTTTTTTAATTTCCTGAGGATCCCCTCCTCCATCATAATAACCACTCCCTCTTCACTTGTTGGTATTGCCATTTAGCAACAAAAAGTTCTATTTATGTTCTTATATATTCTTTTAATATTGATTATAAAATTTATCAACTCATCTGTCTATATGTGATTTTTTTGTTTATTTTTGAGACACAGTCTCATTATGTATTCCAGGCTGGCCTTCAAAACTATCCTCCTGCCTCAGCCTTCCCATTGCTGTGTAGGAGCTCCCATCCATGTGATTGTAAGTTCTTACAATCTGTTTTAATATCCTCTGCAACTTGTTTCTCAAGCTTGAATATTCATAAGAGCCATCTGGGAATTTGTTAACATGAAGATTATGATTTAGTGAGCCTGGACTTTTAACAAATGCTCAGGTGAAAAGCTAATGTTGTGGGCTATGACCACAGGACCATCCACTGTTGAGAACAAAGGAGATGCATACACACAAATAGATTGCTGGATAAGGCCTCGGTCTCTACTAGTATAAATGTTGGACTTTAATGCATCTTTCTGTCCCTTTTCCAATGAACAATTTACATCTGGAAAGTCTTATTTTCTTTTAAAAGACATTCTGTATTCCTTAAAGAAAAAAAAAGCAACCCAATTTTTGTCCACTCAAAAATTTTGCTTTTCCTGAATTATTTCCAATTGTGACTCCTTTATTGAAAGCAGCATTAGCTAGGCATTGATACTTACATGCTTTAATATTTTTATTTCTCAACCTGTTTTACCTAACAAGTATCTGTTCTTGTTTGTGGCTGTAAAAGCAAGACAAGGCAGTGCTTGACATGCAGTAAGCACTTCCAGGGGAGTTTGAAGGACGAAACAAACTTAAGGTTAATTTTTATTACTATTCAATTATTTTTTATTAATGTTCTTATCACATATTTACTGGGAATCTAGGTGAATGTTAAGAGACAAGTAAAAGTTGTAAAATTATGGTGACATAGCTTGGGCAACAGTAAAAAAAAAACACTTAGACTCAATTCAAATAAGACTGCTGGGTATATTAGTACCAATATTAAAAACATGCATTGGCTAAATGATCAAAAATAGAATGCTCTTCTTTAAGATACTCTTAAAAGAGTATTATTAAGAGCCCAGACCTTTCAGGTTTGGTAACACTTCTCTGCGGTGCAGCATGTCACTGTTACAGGGAAATAAAATTTAAATGCAGTCACAATTTTGTTGGGGGCCCAAACCCACATCCTTTCTAACAGTCTTAGTTTTCCTGTCATTGTTTTGTACCTTTCATAGTATGCATTCGTTAGGAGTACGTTCTCCTCAACAGTTCTTGCTTGAACTGCAAAAGAAATGAAAGGAGGTTTGCTCATATTACATTCTCAGGCCAAGAAGACTGCAAGGCCCATTCAAGCGAGGTGTGAGAGGCCTACCAGCTGCACACCCTGCAACAGCTTCGAGCTTCAGTTTTATCTATGGGTTTCGCACAGCTCCGGGGGGAGGGGGATGTAGGGATGATGTAAATCGCCCAAGAGCGGCAACCTTCCCCGCCCTGGGAAACCGTGGAAGAACGTGCAGGTAAGGCAGCTAGTCTCTCCCTAACACGCAGCCCAGGGCCACAGGCCCCGGGAACCGACCCCCAAGCCTGGTGCACAACAATTGTTTCCTCCCTTCCCCGCCTTTTACATACAGTACACATACAAATACACACACGCAGCGCAGCCAGCAGGGGCGGGCCGGGCCCGACCACTCCGCCAGCTGCAGGGGGAACCTTCAGCCAGCCCAGATAATGTCTGCTCTCTTGTCTTCCTTGGTGTCGGTCTTTCTCCCCAACGAAAAGCAATTGTTGTCCCCAAGCAGAGACTGTTGGGTCTAGCATCCTCAAAAGCTCCGCTCTTAAGCGACAAAGCTCCGGAGGCGCTGCGTGCGCCCCCCCTGCCTCTGCGCGCAGTTGGTACAGCCCCACCGCTAGCGGGCGCCGAGCGGGAGC